CCCTTGGTTCAGGAAACGCCCCTGTGCACCACGCTAGAACGCTCCGCTGCCCATGGTGCCACACCAGAGCTGCTTGCCTCAGCAACTAAGAGAACTTCCCCCAATTGCCATGACCCTTGACAACTGATGGGAGAGTGGCCCCACAATGACACCAGCCATCTCCCTCAGCACTCTGGGATGCATTTTGTCTGGTCCCATGGACTTGCGCATGTCCAACTGGTCTGAGTACCTCCCAACTATATGTGTATGTATATTGTGGAAGAAAACATCACGGAGGAAAGTTCATCTATTTCCTACAAATATATATATATTTTTTTTTCCCTCTCGATGACACCTCCTCTCCTCTCCTCTCCCTTCAAGGGAAAGGAGACACCTTAAGCCTTAAAACATAAGCTGTTTCTTCCCTAAGCTGAGTTTCTGGTGGGTTTTTTGTTGTTTTGGGGTTTTTTTACTTTTCCGTGATACCTACCAATTGGCTTCTTAGTCATATGAACATATAAAAGTCTACTTGAATTCTGCTTAGTCCTTTTAATTTCAGAGATATCTTTTAGCAGCAAACACTATGCATAACTTCCTTTGTATTTAGAAGAATACGTCCTCTTATTAAACATAAAGTTATTTTGTTTTCTTGAGTGGTTCCCTAGCTGTTTTACATGATAGGTAGCAACCAGTTCTCTGCCTCTACGCTATTCAACATTCGGCATACCTTACAGAGGACAAGAGTAGAAGGACACTACAGTTTCTGGGTTTTCTCCTTTCTCTTCATAGGAAGGGCCTTTTCCCCCTCCCCAAAGAATAAATCAACCTACTTGAAAATAAGGTTCAGCTTTGCTTTTGTTTATGCATCTCTGCATACTTCCCCTACTTGAAAAGGTTCTGGGATGACATCAACAACGAGAAGCAACAGATGAAAGATTTGCAGCTGACTGACGTGCTTGGCAAGCAGCAGGATGATACTGTGAGAAAACAACAGGGTGATTTCAGAGCCCAGAACAGCACAAGCCACAGTGAAAAGTATCTTCTACATCACCACAAGCTGCTGCAACTACTTCACCATCTGATTAACAGCCCATCAGGACTAAGCAGTGATGAGAGGGTACAAAACATAATTGGTTGTTTTGGTACAGGGCTAGTCACCTTCTCCACCAAGTCACTGAAAATAAAACACCTGAGGTGATAACATTCCTGGTGACTTGTGTTCTCAAGCAAACAGAAGTATGTAACCAGGTTTCCAATATGAGAAACTCCTTCTTTAGTACTTAGTGTTCATGGTTTAGGGAACTTATCTTCTCCCAGAAGATACTGGAAATATCACTGTAAACAGGATTCCGATGTATTCATTACTCTGTGCTTCATTAAAGAAGTAGATATGCACCCTTGGTTCTTCTAGGTGCTCCCATTGCATCTTTCTGGGCTAGGTAGACTGAGACTACAGAACGGTGGTTACCTCTTTGGCCTGCTGCCTTTAGCCAGCTTAACAACCATCCTGGATATTAATGACCTTCCTTGTCAAAAAGTGGTTAGTTCCAGTAAGAAACTTTCTAGAGCTGAGTGGAAACAGCCTGCCTTCCTTGCACAAGCATTATCTAAGCAACCCATGCATAGCTTTTGACATACTGAAACTTTCACTCTAATATGTATTATTTTTCATATCACAAAAAAGGGAGTGATTAGCAAAGGTCACAGGGTTCAGCAATTTTCAGTAATTACCCCAAAGGGCATAAACAAACAAACTTACTTCAATCAGAGACAGGCAGAGACCAAAACCTACTAAGTGCAGCCTGCAACTGACCATTTTGATCAATTTATCTTATATCATTTAATGAATCACTCTAAAGCAGTGAGTCATTGCTGATACTTACTGTTTTACTACTGCAAGTTGCAAAATTGTCCTCTGTACCCATTAAGTGATAATAATACACTTCCACACTGCTTCTCTGCCCCAGACTTGCCAGCCCTAGCAATAAAACTCAGCAAAGGAAACTGATAGTTCCAGCAGTGAGAAAGCTGGTAACAGTTTTTCCCCAGTGCAGTTCAACTTTCTATTCTCATTAAAATGAGACAAATTAGATCCCTAAATAGTCCTTTATTCAAAGAACTACTATCTTGGAGAAACTAAGTTTATGGCCCAATTATGATATCATTAGAATCCTGC